CATTTCCAAAGCCTGCCTTCCTTCCAGTATGTAGTATAGGTCTACCTCCAGTTCATTTGTCCTAGTCACTTTATCTCATTTCTGGACATGTGCTGATATGGTCATCTATTTCTGCTTTTTGTTCATATTCAGTAGTTAGTTGTGGCCTTAATACTTAGATGGGTGTGTGTTTTGGTGTTTTTTTATGCTTTCTGATTGCCTCTGGGTAGATATGATCAGGAGATGGGCTTCCCTTTTCACTCTTATTCCAGAGAAATTTCAGGATGCCACTGTTGGTCATTATGATGTAACTCAGGATTTAATTTTGGCCTGTTTCCTTTTTAGTCTGCCTGTCCTGCTTTACAAACCCCATTCAGGCCTTTTGCTGTGGCTGTTTGTGCTGCTGTTTGGTTTTAAGTGGAAACTGCCCCTTTAAAATTTTGAGGAGATCTGTGCACATCCATAGTAGAAACTTCCGGGGGCAGACGGGGGGGAGGGGTATTCACTCACTTAGGCACCCCCTCGAGCCACCAGAATGGAAATGCACAGACAGCGAGAGACCAATGAACAGATATGAAAAAAAAAAGAATGTCCACACCTTTAGCTCCGTGATTCTGTCAGGCATCCATGGCTGCTCTGATCCTTCCCCTATTCAGTGTCAGCCAAGATGGCCGTTCAGGGAGCAGCTGAGCACCTTGGATTAGAAAGCCCTGAATTTCTTGCTTCTGCTACAAATTCTACTGGCTGTAAGTCTTCCAGTTTTCTAAATATTTCTTTATATGCTTGGTGCGGTATTCTGTGTTGTTGATGACAGAGTTCCTCACTGCACTTCTACCCTATCCGCCATCTTCTTTGTTCCCTAAGTTTATATTCTTAATGGAAATATGACATTGTTAAATTTATGGTAGAGAAAACATTTATATGAGCATATAAATATAAAAGGCTAACTCAAAAATTATTTTTACTAAGGTTTTACTTCATACAATGTATAGGTTTAAGTATTGAAAATGTGTTAAACATGGCTCTGTGATCAGTGTATAGCTACTGGCAAGTTCCCTCAGAAAAACACTTGTCTTAGTTTCCTAAGGGTACTGAACAAAAGCGTTATTCTAAGGTAAACTAGTTCAAGGAGCTGAACTTTCCATCAGCCTTTCAAGCAAAATCTAAGCTAATGAAGACATTTTATATAATTCATTGATAAAATTCAAGCAATTGTATAAAATGAATTATTATTGAAATGAATCTTGAGGTTAACAATATTAAGCAGAGAACAAGGTTCAGTCAATACATTGGCTTCTGAGGGGTTCTGTTGTTGTTAAGTGCCATCGAGTTGGGTCCAACCCATAGTGACCCTGAACAGTGTTTCCAAGGCTGTAAATTTTTTAGTAGAAAGCCTCATCTTTCTTCCATGGAGCAGCTGGTAGTTTTGAACTGCTGACCTTGCGGTTCTCAGCCCTATTCATACCCACTACACTAACAGAGCTCCTGAGAGGTTCTGGACCAGCTAAATTCCAGACAGCAAGGTCAGCTCAGAAGGTTTCAGTGACTCTTTTGGGGGATTGCAAAAGGGGGAGGGTAATGTTGATAGATTTTCTTGAAAGACACAGGATGATTATGGAGGCTTATTAGGTAGAAAATAGAAAACTGTGTTGGTTAGGAAAGGGCCAGTAACGTGCCAAGAAATTTTTTCCTATCAAGACAATGCACCTGTTTGTTCTGTGAAGGTACAGAAGGCTGTCCTATTAGGATTTCACTGCGAAACCTTACCCCATCCATGCTACAGTCATTTCAGACTTCTTTTTGTTCCCCAAACTCAAAGACTATTTCAGAGGAACATGATTTGGGTTCCTCGAGGATATAATAACTGTCATTTTGATATTGTATAAATTGAACAGTGTAGAATTCTTCAGAGAGGTAAGCCTTCTTAAGCATATTGCTCTAGAAGGATATATCAAAAACAATAGCTTCACATTTTGATACTATGGTTTTAAAAAATGTTTCTAT